TGGTCTGTCTTTGATAAAATAAGTGATTTGAGATAGCAGGGAGCCATCTATCCTGCTGCTTTGCTTGGTATCTTTGATAAGTTCATGCATTGTACACTGTTGTTCTCAAGCAGCCACAAGGGCAGTATGGCCAAACCAAAACATTCAAAAGTCATGAGTAGGGGTCACAAATCCATGACTGTCTTAAAAATCATGAGAGTTTGAGTAATAAATGTGGGGTTCTTTCCATTTGCCTCCTGGTGTTTGACTCTGTTAGAGTTCATGTTTTCAAGATTTTTTTCTGAAACCATGAGGCTATAAACTTTTTTTGGTAATAAACAAAGCTGAAATTTTCAGATAATCACAAGACTCCAAGAACTGGGGATTTATACACCAAATATTATGAGATTTGCAATAAAATTGTGAGAGTTGGCAAAAGAATAACAGAGTATAATTACTGATTCTGATTACTGAGCAGGTGGCAGTTTAAAAATTAAAACACTGAGGTATTTGGTATTGTTGTGCGGGTACAACATAACCCAACTCCTAAATCATCTTCTCCTAAAACTTTAAGTAAATCATGTTTGAGACTTGAGAATGTTCAATTATTTTTTCAATTATTTTTCATTTTTGCTTGGCCTCTGCACTCGTGCATTCCGCCACTCTTCCGCCTATTAAAATAATAGTCCATCAGTAAAATCAGAGTAAAAGACCTAGTGTTCTTAACCATATTTATATCTTGATGCTCTTTCGGTTTTTCCAGTTTTCATGAAAATCAATAAGGTTCTGCCCACTGATGCCTAGAACATTCTCTGAAAGTAAGGAATTGGTCGAACGTGCTATCATATGATAGACAGAGAAGCGTCACTGAGTTGAGCATGAGACCTTGGTTTAATCAGGTCTAGTCTACACTACAGACCTATATCAGTATAACTACGTCACTCAGGGATGTAGTTTCTTCACACACACACACCCCCCCGAGAGGGCGACGTTATACTGACCTAACCGCCCAGCTAGACAGTGCTATGTCAGCGAGAGAGAGCTTCTCCCATTGACATAGCTATGGCCTCTCACAGAGGCTTAAAACGTCTTCATTAAAGCACTAGAGCACCGCATTGGTGCGGCTGCGCTGATGCAGCATTTTAAGTATTGTGACAAAGTTCCTCCTCTATCTTGGTGGGTCGTGCGCTTATTGGTGGATTTTCTTGCCTCAGAGATTCACCATGTGGGTTGGGGAACAGCCCAGAGACCTTCCCCTCTGGAAGAACCCACAGTCCAGGTCAATTGGGAGGTTTGGGGGGAACCCGGGCCCGCCCTCTACTCTGGGTTCCAGCCCAGGGCCCTGTGGACTGCAGCTGTCTATAGTGCCTCCTGTAACAGCTGCATGATAGCTACAACTCCCTGGGCTACTTCCCCATGGCCTCCTCCAAACACCTTCCTTATTCTCACCACAGGACCTTCCTGCTGGTGTCTGATAACGCTTGTGCTCCTCAGTCCTCAAGCAGCACACCCTCTCAGCTCCTTGCGCCTTTTGCTCCCAGCTCCTCACACTCGCACCACAAACTGAAGTGAGCTCCTTTTTAAAACCCAGGTGCCCTGATTAGCCTGCCTTAATTGATTCTAGAAGCTTCTCCTTAATTGGCTCCAGGTGTCTTAATTAGCCTGCCTGCCTTAACTGGTTCTATCAGGTTCCTGATTACTCTAGTACAGCCCCTGCTCTGGTCACTCAGGGAACAGAAAACTACTCATCCAGTGACCAGTATATTTGCCCTCTGCCAGACTCCTGTACCCCACTGGTCTGGGTCTGTGTCAGTATAGACCTGCCATCAGTCAGCTCTGTCTGTTTTTACACAGGATTTACAAAAGGTTTCTGGGTTATGTTGAGTTGGCAGTTTTGTTAAAACCTGTCATTACCAGTACAATAAAAAAAATCTGCTTGGGGGGGAGAGAGAATACAGACATACTACTGCCCAAAATGGGATTCCCATCTATTTACTGATGGAGTATTTTATGGCCATATTTTTAAATGAAATTTTTTTTAAAGTTCTCAGCTCCAGATATGGTCTGAAGATTTTTTTTTAATTAATGATGTGGAGAAAATTCACTGTTGGGCACAGACCAAGCCTGGGCCATTTGGGGCAGAAAGGAAACTTTCTTCTAGAGCTTAGAAATGAAGTGTCATAGCATTGTTAGCCAGTATAGCATTTTGCTATCAGCTCATCAGTTTTCACCCTGATTTGGAAGACTCTCGTGCTTTAGAATAAGTGCAATAAAAAGATATGGCTCTGTATGTAGATTTCCATTTGAGTCCGTCTGTATTGATTTTGCACAGAAAAGAAGAAGAATGAGCCAGTGGTTAGGGTGCTCGCCTAGCACTTCGGAGACCTAGGTTCAATTCCCTGCTACTGTGTGTGACCTTGAGCAAGTCTCTTAACCTCACTGTGCTTCAGTTCTCCATCTATAACACCGGGATGATATTTCCCCACTTCATATGGGTGTTGTGAGGCTACTGTGGTAATGGGGCTGTATAAGCACCTGAGATAGATAGAACTTGCAATGGAAAATGTTGATCAAACATCAAATATTTTCACTGTTTTGATTTCAGAAAACTAAACAGAGATACTAGTTATGTGACACTGATTTACAAAATAGCAGCAAAGGCTATGAACATTTGTTTTTTGCATTATTCACACACCATGTAATTTAAAAGAAAGCCCTTCCCTTTAGCAGCCAAGAAGAGTTTACTTGGGAAACTCTTGGACTTGTTTGGCTTGTCTTTCTCACTTGTCTGTGAGATAAATCCCGATTACTTCAGCTAAATTCCAGTGAACGCCAGAACAATTTTATGTGAACACCGACAATGGCTAAGCTTTGCCCTGGTGCTTAGAATCCAGCAGAGCCGGGATGAGCAGAGATACTGGCAGGTTATTCTGCATCAGGAATCCTTCGAGCACAGGAGTACACATGATGGACAGCTGCAGTGTACTCTGGGGCACGCTTCCTGCTCCTCTGAGAATGCTGACCCTGGTGCCAGGTATTGATCGCTTGAGTATAAGACAGAAATTCTTGCCTTCCTGGGAAAGTGATACATGCTTCTAGGCACCTTGGTGTACCAGGGAGATACTGCATGGTAAGAAGAAACACGCCCGCTGCCACAACACTCCAATATAGCAAATGGCAGGATTTACCCCAATTTCTTGAGGGCTTAACCTTTAACTGCTTAATATTTCTAGAATTTTAAACTGAGTGGTCCTCCATTATATTTTGTATGTTGTACTGCAGTTTGCGAGAGTACAACAGGATGTCTGATTCTTGGAGCATGCTTGGAGTTGCAGGGCTGTTCTGCTGACTCATGCAGATGGTCATTAGACCGAGCTTGGGGAATTTCTTTTAGTATGTATTAAGAAGACAAAAAGAAGGAAAGAAACAGGACCTGATCCAAAGACTACTGAAGTCAATGGGAGTCTTTCGATTGTCTTCGCTGGTTTGTGTCAGGCTCCCATGCTTTCCTGAGTGATTTATATGAGGATAGGAAGAATATTTTTTAAAAATAACTTAATTCTGATATTGTAAAATGCTTTGAAATAATGATGAGCGTGAAAGATCTGTGTGAATTAAATCAATTCTGTTCTCTATTAAGATAGTTAGTTTGTTTTTCTGGTGGAATCATTATGAAAAAGAGGTCTCTCTGACGATTCATTTTCCTGCTGTGTTTTCAGTTTCTGGGCTCCTGGGTAGCATCAACATATTTTTTTCTTCTTCAGACTGAGGCAGCTTCTTAAAGGAATGTATTCACAATACAAAGTTTTGCTTACACAGTAAAATATGTCTGAGGTTGTGAAGGGATGCTCTGTATTGTGTGTCTTTTTCTAAATTACTCTGTATGTACCATCATGCAGCATGTTGCTTGTAAGCAATGATAACATTTGAAATAATTCATTTTCTTTCACCTCAGATGGGATGTTTTGTAGCTGTGTTTTGTTTTTTTTCACTTGAGAGCTTCCTGAGGTACTCATCTCTTTGCCAGTGTGTCTCAGAATGGTACTGCATCATGCAGATATTTTTAAAATGCTGAATGTGCAATAAGTGAATTTGTGCAATTGGGTCACAGAGGACCAATTTCTTCCTTCTCGTCTAAGTCCCCACACGCTCCTTGTGCTGAAAATGTAGTCCTGTGTCTTTTCTTTATATTGTAACCCTTTTAGGCCAGGAAAATGTTAGGAATAAAATCTGTTTTTAAACTGTGCAAATTAACAACACTATATAATTTTTATCCATAATAAATATTTGGATTGGTATCTAAAATCTGGTCTCTTTACAGGCTGCATAATGAATTGAACCTTAAAGCTGAATACATTTAGGTTCTGTCTATTGCTACAGAATTAGAGCCAATGTTTTTTGCTGATTGCTATGTGCTTTAGCTTTAAGGAAATGCTTATTTAATTTTCATATGATAGTTTGCTGAGTCATCTCAAGACCCATATGTAAATCTGTGGTAGAGCTCGTCCTTGAATTAAGGGATCACAGGTGGTGAGAGTTTGCTTGAGAAAAGTGACAGATGCTATTTTAAATAAATTGAAGAGATGCTAATTTTAAATGAATAAATTCTCTTAAAAAGCTAACAGGAGCAGTGCTTTTGGTGGGGTTTTGGAGAGCACAGTCTTTTTATTTTCCTTTATTGCTTCCTCTTATATTAATCAAAGTCTACATGCTGAAAGTGATGCCTAGTGGGCCAAAATCTCTGCTACTGTAACTTGCACTCAGTGGAGTTACAGCAACAGAGAAGTTGGGTCTGTGGGGCCAGATCCTTGGTGTAAATTAGCATAGCTCCAGTGACCACAGGTTACACCAGGTGAGGATCTAGCCCATCATTTTTATTTTTTAAACCTTTTTCTTGAAGTGACCAGCAATATTGCATGTAGCTGGAGTTTGTAGGGTTCAATTATTTTGGAGTTTTATTGATGAAAAATACTAACAATATGATAGCATATAAGCCACACTTTTTAAAATTTCTTTTTCAGACTAATGGACATATATCTGGTAATGAAGATGTATATCAAGAAAGGCTAGCGCGTCTGGAAAATGACAAGGAATCTCTTGTTCTGCAAGTAAGTCATTTCCAAACTTAGGTTTTTTTCCTCTTCTGTGTATAGATTTCAGAGTGGTAGCCGTGTTAGTCTGTATCAGCAAAAACAATGAGGAGTCCTTCCGGCACCTTAGAGACTAACAAATTTATTTGGGCATAAGCTTTCGTGGGCTAGAGCCCACTTCATCAGATGCATTGAATGGAAAATACAGGAGCAGGTATAAATACATGAAAGGATGGGGGTTGCCTTACCAAGTGTGAGGTCAGTCTAACGAGATAAATCAATTAACAGCAGGATACCAAGGGAGGAAAAATAACTTTTGAAGTGGTAATGAGAGTGGCCCATTACAGACAGTTGACAAGAAGGTGTGAGTAACAGTAGGGAGAAATTAGTATTGGGGGAATTAGGTTTAGGTTTGGTAATGACCCAACCACTCCCAGTCTTTATTTAGGTCTAATCTGATGGTATCCAGTTTGCAAATTTATTCCAGTTCTGCAGCTTCACGTTGGAGTCTGTTTTAGAAGTTTTTTTTGTTGAAGAATTGCCACTTTTAGGTCTGTTACTGAGTGACCAGAGAGATTGAAGTAGTGTTCTACTGGTTTTTGAATGTTATGATTCCTGATGTCAGATTTGTGTCCATTTATTCTTTTGCGTAGAGACTGTCTGGTTTGGCCAATGTACATGGCAGAGGGGCATTGTTGGCACATGATGGCATATATCACATTGGTAGATGTGCAGGTGAGCGAGCCCCTGATGGTGTGACTGATGTGGTTAGGTCCTCTGATGGTGTCCCTTGAATAGATATGTGAACAGTGTTGGCACCGGGGTTTGTTGCAGGGTTTGGTTCCTGGGTTGGTATTTTTGTTGCTGGTATTTGCTTCGAGTTGCGGGGCTGTCTGTAAGCGAGGACTGGCCTGTCTCCCAAGGTCTGTGAGAGCGAGGGATCGTCCTTCAGGATCGGTTGTAGATCCTTGATGATGCGCTGGAGAGGTTTTAGTTGGGGGCTGTAGGTGACGGCTAGTGGCATTATATTACTTTCTTTGTGCCTTATTCTTTGTGCCTTATCCTTTCACACAATACAAAAAACAGGGGTCACCTGATGAAATTAATAGGTAGCAGGTTTAATACAAACCAAAGGAAGTACTTTTCATATAACAGACGATTAACCTGTGGAACTCATTGCCATGGGATGTTGTGATGGTCAAAAGTATAACTGGGTTCAAAAAAGATAAGTTCATGGAGGATAGGTCCATGAATGTTTGTTAATCAAGATGGACAGGGATGCAACCCCAGGCTTGGAATGAGCCTAAACCTCTGGCTACCAGGAGTGGAAGACAAGGGTGGATCTACTCCATCATTGCCCTGTTCTTTACACTCCCCCTGAAGCTCTGGCATTGGCCATTGTCAGAGACCGGATACTGGTCAAGATGGACCATGGTCTGACTCACCATGGCAACTCTAATGTTCCTCCTCAGCTCATACAGCATAACTATTGTAGAACACCTCTTATGTGCTGTAACTGCAGAGGTTGCCTCTTATTATTTATTCCTTGTCCTGCAGGGTGATAGGTGCTATATAAATCTGAAGTAGTTATGGATTTTCATATTTCTGTACTCTACAGGTAAGTGTACTTACTGACCAGGTGGAAGCACAAGGAGAAAAGATTCGAGATTTAGAGTTCTGCCTAGAGGAGCACAGGGAGAAGCTGAATGCCACAGAAGAGATGCTGCAGCAGGTATTGCGAGGAAGCCAGAGCAATTTCATTTCTCTCGCTGTGCGTGCTTAGTAGATTTGTGATGTAGCACTGAATACTGTTTTGTCTGGTTCCGTCAGACTAGTGTGTTTAGGACAAAATTTTGGAACCCATGGTGTCACATGACAAAGTGATAACTTTCTTGTTTACAGTCTATTTTATTTGTTAAAATTGTTCTCATTCTGAGTCATGTCAGCCCTATCCCGCAGAGTAAGGATCTAGTCCCTGCACTGACTTCTAAGGGAGTTGGATTGAGGCCCTAGGTAGGATGGGTGTTATTTCTTAGCTCTAATTTATTGTAACTCTACTTGCTGCCCTCGGCAACTGCGACAACTGGCAAGTTTGTTGGGGCAGCTCTTCCTGGGTCTGGCAGCAATCACCCCACTACCCATGATCCTGGATGCATCCAAGTTAACTGCATCCGACCCACAGCCACCAATTGTTAAAGGATCATCTCTCTCAATAGCTGCAGAGTGGCAGAATTGGCAGGCCTAGAGCAAACTGACTTGCACAGGACCTGGGGATGTCCATTATTCACATCCTTTTCCTAATGGGGTGGAATTGGGCATTCCAGGGAAAAAATCCCTGGATAAACTAAGCTTAGAAGTTGAGTCCTGATTGGAGAGACAGGCAGCACTCAAGATAGGCATCCAGTTAACCAGGTTAACTATGGCTGGTATCCTTTGGCCTGATAGATTGGAGGAGGAGTCCTACCTTTCTCTCCAAGAGGCCTCCAGATGCAGGAAGGCCACTTTCCTGCTCTCTCTTTCTTGGGGCCTATCTTAATGTGGTGCTAAGCATGTAATTTTTCCTCCTCAGAAGAATAACTCTGTTCCTCTTCATCTTGAATCAGGAACTTCTGAGTAGAACATCCCTTGAAACTCAGAAATTGAACCTTATGGCAGAAATTTCCAATTTGAAGCTAAAGCTAACCGCTGTAGAGAAGGACCGATTAGACTACGAAGACAGATACGGAGACACAGAGGTTAGTAAAGCAGATGAACTGATCCTCAGAGCTTCATGTGGTTTTAAGTTACCTGAAACTTTCTCTCAGTTTTATAAAAATAACTTTCCAAATTCAAGTCATTCTGAGTCAGAAGGAAATGGGATTTAAGATGGACTGGCTCATGGGGGCAATGAACAGGTACATTGCCTTGCTGTGTTCCAAACTAGTAGGTCACACTCTTTTAGAGCGAGGCTCATGTATGTCACGGCAGATTTTCAAGCATGCTCTTGTAACGAAAGACTTTGCACTCATGTTCGGTGAGAGCCAGACAACATCTCTGAGAGTTTTTAAATATCACTCATTTGACAAGTCAGAGTGTAAATCCTGTCCCTATTGAAGTCAATGGGAGTTTTGCCATTGACTTCAGTGGGGCCAGCTTTTCACCCAGAGTCTGAGATGTGTCTCAGATGTCCAAAATGCCAGCAGATATTCACTTAGGACTGGATTCTGCCAGACTCTTACATGGGTGCACAGGGATGGGAGGCAGGGGGAGATGAATATACAGAGCCCTCCCCCCAATGAACAGCTTGAAGCAGGGGCAGGCAGAATTGCAATCCATGGCTCAGCTTCCTCTGGCTGTACATGGGCTCAGAAGTGGCAACTTAAAAATGAGTATGCTGCCTCTGTGTTCCGGAGAGCTGTTGGCCTTGTCTTCACTGCAAAATCTGTACCATTTTTGAACACAGAATGGCCCCCAGAGCTCCCAGTAGGGGGCGGGGAGGGGCCAGCCCTGCACTTCCCTCTAGACTAGCACAATCAAGCCCATAATGAGCCCAACAAATGTGTGTTTTTAATTTCTTTTTGGAAGATGGAGCTCTCTGGTGAGGTTCGCCAGCAGGTAAGCCATTCAGCGTGCAGCTTGGTATGCACAGTACATTCACTTTTCTTGTTTTAATTTTTAAAATGATTCTTTTACGGTGGCTTTCTGTTACAAGGCTCAAACTGGCCAGCCCAGTTCCGCGTGGTAACAGCGAGGGTGAATGGAGCCACCATGTAGAGGTGAGCTAAGCCATGCCAACAATCTTCCGGTGGCTGCACAAGTTATTGCAGATCACTTTAAGCTTTTGATTTTATAAAGAGAAACTTTAAGTTTCTTACTCTTAATGTTGCAAAGGTAGGATTCCAAACGTGAACGAATCTGTGGAAAGAAAGAATCAATCATGTCCTTCTGGGAGGAACGACGAGCCCCATTAACTTCAATAGTGCGCTGAGGCTGAAGGCGAGTGATGATGATGTAAATGTCAACATTCGTCATTTTAGCAAAGACATCTAGCTGCTGTGGCGCTGTGAGCAGAGCTTGCTTTAAGTTCTGTTGCCTTTTCCCTGCAGTCTGATCCCAGTTTTATATGAATGATTGCTATTGCCGAAAAGCAGTGAACCTGACCAGTTCAGACAAGTGCCATACATACCCGTGCTGTAGAAATAATCTCTCCACCTGGCACAGGCAGATTGAATTCTTCTTGGTATTGGTAGTGCTGTGGTGGGTCAGTCAAGTTATAATTGGCTGGTTCTTGGAACTCCCGCAACTCGTAGCGTTCTTTACTCGCCCCCGTGACAGTAAAATGTGAAATTCTTTCTTTACATCGAAAACACAAAAGATACAAGGGGGGGAGGGATAGCTCAGTGGTTTGAGCATTGGCCTGCTAAACCCAGGGTTGTGAGTTCAGTCCTTGAGGGGGCCACTTAGGGATCTGGGGCAAAATCAGTACTTGGTCCTGCTAGTGAAGGCAGGGGGCTGGACTCGGTGACCTTTCAAGGTCCCTTCCAGTTCTAGGAGATGGGATATCTCCATTAATTATAATTATAATTATTATTATTACAAACTAAAGCGGTAAACCCATCAGTATGAATGGCAAACTTTTTTTTGGGAGGCAACATTTGACCCAAATGATCACAGTAAACACATATTGCTGAAACTGAATTCTGCTGTGGCTCTGCTTGGAAGTGTCACTTGGTTTCTTAAATAAGTTTTCCGAAACAGGTAACAAAAGTGGTTGACCGTTCAGTGCTTTTGCTTTACTCTTTTTTTTTTTTTTTGGTCTTTATATTTTGATTACAATTTTTTCCAATCTTTCCTGTCATCCCCTTCTTTCATTTCCCTCTGCACTGCAGTCACTCCATAACGTAATAGCAGAACTCAGACAACAGATGGAGAAAGTGGAGGTGGAACTAACACTGTTCCAGGAAAAGAGGTTACAGTATGGGGATCAAGAGGTGACTTTTCCACGCCATGCACTGCAACTGTAGACTCTGTGCAAAAGGCTTACCTGCATGGTAGCTATTAATACCAATATTTCTCTTAAATGCCTCCGAATATGCCTAATCATGGTCTTTTATGGGGATAAAAGATGCTGTAATAAAATAACATTCAACTTAAATTGCCTTTAAATGCAATTATTAATGATGATGATTAAGAATAATATAGTTTTATTTGCAGGACATCCGTGCCAGAACTAATAAACTATTACTAAAATGTGGCTTGCTTTTTAAAAAAAAAAAAGGCAACATAGCTGCTTGCTTTATTACAGAACTTACTAGTTCTAAGAGCTGGCCCTTCATGGCAGTAAAGCCTTGGTGACCACTCTGCATATCTGTGCTTTATAGTTTTGAGGAGTTAGATTTTTCAAAAATGCTCATTGTTGACCTAACTCTACCCCCACTGAAGTCAATAGTCAGTTGATTTCAATGAGGCCAATGCTGAGTGCTTTGAAAATCCTGCCCTTGAGCTTCTTGTGCCATTCATGGGCACAAAATCACCAAAACCAAACAGAGAAACTTCATATCCAGAAGAAAGCACAATCAGCAAAAATGTCCTGAGCCCTCCAAAGAAGATAGTTGATTACTCCCAAGTACAAAACAGACTTGATTACTGATTGAGTTAAATAATTGATTCCCACACAGCCATCCCATTTTTGTTTAAATATACTACTACTGCTTCCCGTTGAACTGGAAGTCAGTTTACGCTGTTCACTGCTTCTCTTTAAAATGAATACCTCCTATTATTCTTTTTGCATAATTTCCTTCGTCAAATCTTTGTCTCCTAGAGTGGCTCTGTTCAGTATTCTCAAATACAGTAGCTTTTCAAGGTTTATGATATATAATTAATTTCAGTAATTAATTTAAATTATAAATTTAAATAATAATTTAAATAAGTAATTATAAATCAGTACTGATTTATTTTTTTCTATATTAAATAATCCCAATTGTGTCACTCTGTTTTCTAGTAACATCTCCATTTAATTCTCTCTCTATCATCTTTTTGTGCTGTGCTCTGTCCAGCTTGACTGTATCGTTCTTGAAGATGGCCAAAACTGGACACTTTGGTCCAAATGTGGTGTTGTGGATAACTAGGTAAACATACCTCGCGGTACTTGAAATCTTCCAAATGGGAGGAAGTTTTATTTAGGGAGGGGTGTTTACAGCCAGACATGACACTCTACAGAGCCACAACTTGAAGTTAAAACTGTCCTCCCTTCAGGGTTCAAACAGCACCACACTCCTCTGTGGGGTGAATCTCTGACATAGGTGTTGGAACTGGGCGGGGTGGGGGAGAGAGAGGGTGCTACCGCACCCCCTGGCTTGAAGTGGTTTCCATCATGTATAGGGTTTACAGTTTGGTTGAATGGCTCTCAGCACCCCCACTATACGAATTGTTCCAGCACCCCTGATCTCTGAGTGGTGCAATGTCACCTATGGTTGCAGTTTGCATCCCCCAGTGCCAGCAGGGGGAAATGAGTCCCACAGCCTAAAAATGTCCTGAATGTGCCCCAGCAGCTACCCATTCCCATTACTCATGCTAGGAGCATGATTATTGTGAGCGGGGGACGGAATGGTGGCGGGCTGTGGAAAGACAAGAGGCTACATGTTGAACACCCCTCACGCTGCAACATCTGGGGCTTGCCATGGAAAGTCCTCCATAGGCCAGTGCAAGAAAAAGCTGTGGAGTATGAACTGCATAGGTTTTTGGGGGAGCCAAATATTGGAACAGAACAGCTGCACTTTGTCTCTTCTGGACATGTATGTACACCTAGCCCAAGCTATCTTTTTAACCCTTTTGTATGTGTGTTTTCAGAGGAGAGGTTAAATACAAGTTGAGCAGGTTCCACAAAAAAAGTCTCATATTGGTGTTTCACTTTTCACTCCAGGCTTGATCCAAAGTCCATTGAATTAATCATACTTGTTGATCTCAGTGGGCGTTTGATCAGGGCCTAATGATGATATTGTGGTTTTACATCACCATATCTGAAGACCCAGGTGACTTTGGTGCAGATGTGGCAAGCACTATCACCAGTTCCCAGAAGTAATCTGACCATGGACTGTTACACTGATTTGTATTAGAGTAGCACTTAAAGGCCTCCGTCAGCATTGGGGCCCCAGTGTACTAGCACCTTGTAAGCAATAGTCCATGCACTGAAAAGTTTATAATCTAAATCAATAAAATAGACAAAGGGTGGGGGAAAGGACAACACAAGCAGTTGTTGAGGGAACTGAAGGACGAACAGATGGACTGGGATTTTCAAAGGATCCTGAGGAAGTTAGGTACTATTGAAAATCCGAGTCTGAATGACTTGCCCAATGTCAGACAGTAAGTCAGTGGTGGAGCTGCAGATTGAATCTATATTGCCTGAAGAGGGGGAACAGAGCTAAGGAGTGCAAAGAGCAGGATTATGGCTGTCCACTGTGTAGATGCATAACAGGGCTGTGGGGGCTGCTTGTTCCCCCTCTCCCTCCCCGGCCCATCTGTGCAGGATTGTGGTCTGGCCCATGTGTGTTGATGGCAAAGATTTTATATAAACCTACTTCTCTGCCTTGGAAAACTGACAAAGGAATGTAATTTGGAGTATAATCTCGTATATAACACTCTTTGGCAGGAAATGAATTGTAAAATTTTCTTCTGCAAAACATATTGGTGATATTTCTGTTTTTGAAATGTGGTCATAGATGTTCTTTAATTCTTTTTGTCCCTTTCCAATAGCTGTCTAATATTTTTAATGACGATGGTTATAAATTAGACCGCACCCAAATGTGTAGGAAGAACTTGATAGAATAAATAAGAAGGCATGGTTCCTGCCCTGAAGAGTTTACAATCTAATATTAGACATGACACAGAAAGACAGAGTAGCTAACCATAGGGGATGGGTTGAGAAAATGCTTGGCTTATAGTAATAATATTACTTAGTGAGGTTGTGTGCACATCTTAACAGTTCTATTAAAGTTTTTTTTTCCATTAAATTAATTTGTAGGAAGAAATTTTTTAAAGGGATTTTGAATAAGGATTGGATGGATTTCTTTTTCTGGTATTTTCAGTCTCAAACAGTTCATGATAAAGTTCTAAGTAATAACCTCATCAATTACAGATACACAAAATTAATTGCCAGTTGTTTTGAAGTCCAACATCTAGCAATAACAACAAAAATCCAAATCTATTTTGATAAATACACAAATCTAAGGCCAGAGGTGCAGGGATTTGATTGAAATCTTCAACATTTTTCATGAGCAAGGTACAGTTCAGTGTATTTAATTGTGTATGTTTATAAGAAGACTGACATGCTCTATCAGGCCCCACTTCATCCCTAAGTTGATGATCGGTAAGGAAGTGCCAGGTGGAGCCAAGTTATAAAGTTGTACACTAGCATAGTGATCATTAACAGACTCTTAATGATCTCTCTTTTAATTAACTTTCTAGTTCCAGTAGCTTAACTTGGATGGGGTGTAGCTATATACTCTGACCTTCAAGTCAACTGTAAATTTTTGTAGTAGATGGAGAAGAGCTGTTTTATGTGGCAAGTTTTATAGATATTTTTCCATTCCTTGTTTAATCATTTTAACCACAAAAACATATTTTCTTCCCCTCCTCTTCCCACCGGTTCAGAATTGCAGCTTCTTCAGTTCTGTTTGCAAGTCACTATTGACATTTGCAATTTTAAATGGTCTGAGCTTTCTTAATTGATCCAGTACTGTTGTCAAGGGCATTAATTTGTCTCTCTGTAAGGAGGTATTTCCCTGCATTCACACCAAATCTGTTTTGCAGAGTGGATACTCCAAAGACACATGCATCAACTGCTTCAAAGTGCCAGGGAGCTCCACATCTGTATTAAACTATGCACCAATTGCTAACTAAAACTAGAGGGCAAGAAATAGTGAAAGTCGATCGAATGGGGAGATGGCTGGTCTGCCTGTGACGTTCTGCTCTTTGTTCCTGTTGTTACTGTATCTCAATTCAGGGGAGCAACCCAGTCCCTCAGAAGTCACAGTAATACCCCAGTCCCAACAATGACCTGCTGCCTGATACTGGATTAGAAGTACCACTAAGCTTCCCAGAGAGCATGGGTGCTTCTGTAAGACTCCTCAGTCCTGGATAATAAGCCTGATTCCCGTTTGGCAGGAGGATGGCTTGTTCTACCATCTTCCAAATGAAGTAAGGTTAAATGCTAGAGCTCCCAGAGCCCAGTGAATGACACAGTCAGGGACATCATTTAACCCCTACTGCCAGAAGTACCCACTGACCAACAGAAATAGCTTAAATTAAGTTGCAGTCATGGTTCAGGATAATAAAAGTTGACTAAACTCCCCAACCCTGCTCTACCCTTTTTCTGTAAGATTTATCTGCCTCCTGCTTCTTGTCTGATCTTCGTTAAGAAATAAAAATATTGCTACGTGATCTTCAGATTCATTGAGTATCTAGCACAGCATAATCAGTAAACTAGCTAAAAGGCAGGTAGGTGGAGAACATCTGGAACAGGGGCTGGAAGGTAAGTCATTCCAGCTACCCATAAATATCCTTTAATGGAATTGTTGGGTTGCTTGTCCCATAAGAAGGGTGCCTGTCATTGGCTGGCATGGATGAAAGTAGACTGCAGCACCTTATATAGAAACTGGTAAAACTGAGCACCATGCTAAAATAAATAAATAAATGCTGTTGTCTGGGGCTTGAAAGTTGTTAAACTAGGAGGTTTTAGTCATTTTTCCATCCTCCTGTGCCTGTTTTCCAGGACTCATAAAAAAGCTAATATATTTTTATTGAGCGTTTTTCAGGTGAAACAGCATTACAATTGCTGCAGTGCATTTTAAGAATGCACTTTTAGCCAAAATATAATACTGGTCTGGGGATCAGGGTGTAAACCTCAGATTAACAAAATAGACATGATAAATAAAAAGCTAGCCAGAGGCTTCTTTCAGACCTCAGCACTCAGGTAAATGTTTTCCCCTGCCAAACAGCAAGTTCAATATACCTGTTATTTTCCAGCACACCATGCCTTGTTTACTTTCATGGAGAGACATTCTGCCCAGTGGTGAATGTTCTGTGTCAAAGAAGCTGAGGGTTCCAAACACACATGCTGCTCATTTCCGCTTGGTTCAGCTACCTGAGGATGTTTACGTAATCTAGTACAGTTCCTTCCCCTGTGCTCTGCAAAAACACATACAAAGGATGCAATATTCATTGTATTTATAATGAGTGATGGGGAATCCTCAAAAGGTTTGACAGCTCAGTTTGGAAGTTTATCTGAGAGGAAGGATAGTCTGGTGGTAAAGGCACTGGACACTTGGGTTCAGTTCCTGGCTCTGCGATAGGCTTCCTGTTTGACCTTGGGCAAATCACTTAATCTGTCTCTGCCTCAGTGTAAAATGGGGATGTTAATAATCATCAGTAAGGCTAAGATTTTGTCATGGATATTTTTAGTTAAAGTCACGGCCAGGTCACGGGCAATAAAAGAAAAATTAATGGAAGCCTATGACCTGGCCCCATAACTTTTACTAAAAATATCCATGACAAAATGGGGAGCCACTGGGCAGATGTGGGGGCAGGAGCTCTGGGGCCCCCCACCACCTGTGGGGGCTTGGAGGTCCAGGGTTCCCCTCCGCCTGTGGCTGGGAGCTGCGGGGTTCCCCACTGCCCAAGGCAGAGAGGAGCTGGGGGGGGGGGGGGCGGGCTCGGCCAGGAGCTGCGGGGTCCTCCCCTGTGGTGGCTTGGAGCCCACCACGGCAACCCTACTGCCGGGGGGGCCGGAGCAACAGGGATTCCCCTGCCGCCCACTGGGGCTGGGAGCAGTGGGGGGCCCCCCGCTGCCTGTAGCAGTGGGGAGTTGGAGCAGCAGGAGTCCCTCTGCCGCCCACTGTTGCTGTGAGCTGCCGGGGTCCCCCCTGCCGCCTCTGGGGGCGGGGAGCTTGAGCTCTGGGGGCCCCCCTTGCCACCCACAGGAGCTGGAGCTGTGCGGGCTCCCCACCACCCACTGGGGCTGGGAGCTGCGGGGGTCCCCCCTGTTGCCCATGGGGGTGGGGAGCTTGAGCTGCGTGGGTCTCCCTGCCACCTGCGGCTTCCACGACCTCCGTGTCAAAATCGTAGCGTTAATCATCAACATACTTCTTTGCATCTTGATTGAAACACTGTCAACCTTGGGTTTAGTCTCATCTCTTTTAGCAAAGAGTTCTACAGCTGGTATTCCACTGCTCAGAATGCTCTACCTCTCCTAATGTTAGAATGTTGAAACTTGCTTGTCCGTAGCTGCATCACTTTGGGTGAAGTGTAGCTGCTGTGGAAAGGTCAGGAAGGGCAAGGCAGTCTTTGTAGAAGTCAGATCCCAATCCATTAGGGTTAGGATTGTGAGCCTGGTTCTGAAGCAAAAGGGGAGTCAGTGGAGTTCACAAAGCACACACGTGACAGCATTCACAGCAGCGTTTGTTGCTTATGAGGCATGCAGCTCTGTGCTGCACAAATTTCAGCCTTTTGGTGGCAGTTGCATTCACGGCCTGGTAGAGTATGTTGCAATACCATCTAACTTAATGTGACCAAAAATATGGAACACTATGAATAATATCCCATTCATTTCAGTGACAATATAGGTACAAAAATTGATAATAAGATGTCATCTGCTGGGACTACATGCACAAATAAGGTGAGCATAATTTGGGTTCACATTGTGTCATCTTTTCTCACTGCTCTCCAATAATAGGTCTATTTGGTCTTGTTGTGTAGTCTTGGTTAAATGTAACTTGCTTATATAGTCCCTTTATGAAGGCAATGTTTGATTTTGTATAACCGGAGGGTTTTTATTCTGGGTGACTATTATTTTACCATTTGTATTTTAGAGAGAGGACCAGAAACAAGACCTAATGTCATAGGAATATTGAAGAGTTACTGGGACAGAGTCTCCATTTCCTTGTCATTCACAACTGTGCAAAATGGGTGTCAAATGCTGCCAAATCAGGCCAGTAGCACTTTACATGCACATTCTACTCACTTTGCACAGGTATAAATGACTACACGAGGTGGAGGATCAGGCTGCTATTTTACTTAAAAGTTGATAAATCAGCTGATTGTTGCCTGCATGCATTAATTTGGTGCTTTGAGGAGGAAACCTGGAAATCCATGGGTCTGATTCTCAGTTGCATGAAGGTCTCTTTATGCTGCTCTGGAAATATAAAAGTGCTGGGGGAGTGGGGGAGCTGTGGACATAGGGAGCACACCAGCCACTCAAAGCTACCTTTTCCACTCCTGCTTCCCTCCTGCATTCAGTGCAGGAATGTAGGAACTTGGAATTGGAGCCCATGGATGGTCCACCGAGCTCTGAATTGCTTGAATATTTGTCCTGACCTGATTTTGAACTTTGAAGTGTCTGTATGCACAATATGTGTGGGTTGTTTTGTTTTGTTTTTGGTATTGATTTGTTTTTACTTTCCCACTGATGTGTGGTTGCTGAGTTGTTGTTCTGTTTTGTTTATTGAATTTCTCTGTTTTTTCTTTTTCCTTTCACTCAGGGTTTGATGCAGGAAATCAATGAATTACGGTTAAGAGTGGGAGAGATGGATAATGAAAGACTTCAGTACGAGAAGAAGCTTAAATCCACCAAAGTAAGTTACACTGAGGGAAAGAGGGGAGAGATGGGCATAAGCTGCAAATTTTGGAACTGTATCTGGTTTTCAAACATCCTGAAGTCTTGGGAATTTGCAGATCAAGGGCTTTTGTGATGCTCATTTAAAAAAACAGACAGGGGCCATATACAAATTTCATATCAGGTTCTGATTTCAAACCTCAACACACAAGTTCAGGAGAGTTCAGATCAGAGCCACAGGTTCAGCCCCATTTCTGAGAGGCACTGTTGCTTTAGTTAACTAGCTGCAAGCAGCAATTTTTGTATTTAAATTCTATTTAGATATTTGTATGCGTGTGGATCAGGGAACATCATTTGTAATGAGAAAGGCGTGGACCATGGGTGGGATGAAAACTGAGCATTATTTTCTTTTAAATGGGCTATACATTATCCACGTTTACCCTGAAGAGAAAGCAGTAACCTGAGCAATTCTAGCATGCCATTTCTCTAAGTATCTAACTCTGTTGTGAATTCTGTTAGCTATCTAGCCTTGCTTCTTTTCTATCATTTGTTTTCTCTCACTCCTCTGTCTCTGTTACCAGTCTTTAATGGCCAAACTTTCTAGCATGAAAATCAAAGTGGGTCAGATGCAGTATGAAAAGCAGCGGATGGAGCAAAAATGCCAGATATTAAAGGTGTAGTAGATTGTGGGTAATATTGGGCCTGTTTTGAATCCTTTCTGCACCACTGCTTTGTGGCCTGTGCTTGCATCTTGCTGTCATGCTGTCTGTGTTCTTTATTGATTACTTTCTGTTGACATGCAGTGTGCTCTTTCCACTAGAAACTAAACCTTGTGAAGTGAGATGTTCCTAACATTGTTTTTAGGGCATAAATAAGACTTTAGAGGGATTTCAGTAGTGCACAGGGCTTGGGTGGTTTACCCACAACTTTATTTTAAATTTAAAGTATCCCCCTTCAAAGGGGTAATTTTCACTCCTCCAGCTTGCATTCATTATTCAGAAAAAGCTCTTACTGAGCTGTGTACGTGTACACACACACACACACACACACACACACACACACACACACACACACACTTCTTACCAAAGACTTCTTAATGTATTTTTAAACAAGAAAATAATTGTTGTAATACATCAACTTCCTCAAATAGTATGAACATAATAAATTAACAGACCATAAGTTGAGTTAATTGGGGAAAGTACCCTGCATCAGAAACTGAATGCAACTCCAATTTAAATCTCAATTACTGTACTAAAAACTCTTAAAAAGAACAGGAGTACTTGTGGCACCTTAGAGACTAACAAATTTATTTGAGCATAAGCTTTCGTGGGCTACAGCCCACTTCTTCGGATGCATA